AATGCACATGCAGGAGATTTCGATGATGCAGTTAAGTGTACTATCTTAAAATCCAAGATGGCTGGAAAATATGCTCCTGTGCCTGCTAACGATCCCTATACTAATAATAATCCGGCTATAAATACTCCAGATACATTACGAGCTTGGATGAGAGCAAAATACCAGCGGGAGACAGTTGGAAATCAGCAATCAGCTATTCAAAGATTGACTCAAGAAAAATATCAACCTTATGATACTCCTGACACCTATGAAGTTAGAATTCGTCCACTAATATTAGGAGTGGCAGACAATGATGCGCAAGTTTTAGGATTTCTAAAAAGTCATTTAACAGGCGATTTTTATACTTGGATGAGAATTGCTAATCCAACAGGCATTAATGAATTTTTCACCGAACTAAAAAATATGTGGTTAGAACGTAGGCCTAACTTGAATTAAGGATCAATTTCCAATCAGGTTTCTGTCGCTAATATACCACCTGTATTTTCTCAGCTAGAAACTGATTCACGCCAATTACAAAATAAATTACATTCAGATAATGATAGTATACGAGCTGAAATAAAAAGCATGATAAAATCAGAATTAGCTTTAGTACCAACCCCTCCTCAGTCTACACAATCAACTTCTCAAAGACATGAAGGGCAATTATTACGGCCCAGTCAAATGGAACCAGGTAAAATATATCGGGATCCACATTTACGCTTGAATGATCAAGAATGGCTTCGAATGGATGATGCAACAGATCGTCTTAGTGCTTTAGCAGGTCCATCTTATCTACAAACTTTCATGGATACAATTAGTAAAGAAGTAATGGATAGAATCACGCCTTTCTTACCAAATAAGAAAAATAACACTCCTAATAATGATGATATGGATGAAATTACTAAGGGTATGTCAGAATTATCAATAAATAAGGCTATAGCCAAAGGTATATCACAGGGAATAAAAGCGGTACATGATAATAATGTATCATCTCGGCATAGATGTTCGAATTGTTATAGTCTTGGACATAATTCTCGCAAGTGTCCATATCCTCGAAAAAGGAACAGAAAAAATAGAAAGAGTAGATCAAAAAAGAGAGGCAGTGTTAATAAGGTTGCTGTAGATTCGGGTTCAGATACAAACTCTTCCGATAATGATTCTTCAGATAATAACTCCGATTCTGAGAATTCCTCCTCTGAAGCTGAATCTGATTCTAAAAATGATTTAACTGAGGCTGAAATCTCGAAAATTATCAATGCTGTTAAATCAAAAAAAAACAAGTAAAGCGGAAGAGTAAATCGGATAAATCATTATATAAAAAGTCTGGTTCAAAGAAGAGACAGAGTCTCGAATCTCCGATTCAACGTTCTTCACAAAAAATACAAAAGAAATCAGGTACGATTATCGACTCACAAATTCGAAAAATTATTCTAGCTATGTTTAACGATCCAGAGGTTATAGAAACGATTAAAAACAATATTAATAATACGAATTTATCTATGACTCGAAGAGTTGCCCCTAAAGGGCCTGCAAAACCTGACTTTACTGCAAAGCAGGGCACTTCGTGCTTAAATTATCGAGAGCCGACCCCAGAAATACCCGAATCAGATGACGAAGAGGAGACGCTGAACGATCCTATGGAGATAGATTTTGTTCGAAGAAAGGAACCTACCACAAGCCTTGCAACTATACCAGTTAAAATTCGACGATTGAAAATTCCAGCAATGTGTCTTGACAGTGGAGCTGAACCTGCAATTGTATCAGAAGATATTGTTAAACGTGTAAATTGGCCAATTGATAAATCAGAAAAATACGATCTTAGTGGTGTTGCAACAGTTCCGACAAAATCTATTGGTATTGCTCGTAATTTCCCAATAACATTCCCTCTAGGTTTTACTATACGTGAAGATTTTGTAGTTGTACGACCTCCTAAACCAACTTTGATATTTCCAAATCCACTTCTCAAGAAATATAAATGCGCTATAGATTGGGGGAAAGATGAATTGAAAATTCCTTTCAATGGGAAGGATCACATTATTCCAGTAACTATGCACAAGGTAAAAAATAATCTCGAAGTAAATTGTGTTACTACATCTCAAGATGATAAGCCTTTGGTACTCGATCAAATTTCTCAAGAGGCGGATAGTAATGAGAATGAGAATATACCAATTGAAAAGTGGTGTGCTCCTGCAGGTTTTAGCCTAGATTTTGATGATCCGTCATTAAAAAAAACACGTGATTAATCCTAATCTCATTTCAGATACTAAAATATTAGAGTTCCATTCTAAGGTTTGGGACACACGGCAAAATCTCAAAGATGAATTTCTTAAAGTTTTAGATTATGCTGAATATCTTGAAAAGGAATTGATTCGAATTCAGGATTCAGCTTGAAGCTCTTTAGCATATTTTCGCAAATGTGACATTCTGGCTTGCACTTCATTTTCTGGCACTGACGAAGTAGACTGATTATTTAAAATAGAATGATGTATGGTTTTCGATTCCGATAGATCTCCACCTTTAGATAATTCCGCACTAGAATTGTCCTTTTTTTTTCTGCCAGTCTTTTTTGTCTGCTTATCTGAGGTAACAATAGAGTTTACTTGCATAACGTTTTCATCCATGCCAATGTTTAGTAAATGAGATGAATCAGGAAACCGATCTACTGTATTTGATAAGCTGTGGTCCCCATTCTGTTGAGAACGCTCGCTATTTTTCCATATATCCTCAACACGATTTTCATTAATATGGAAATTCCTTACTAGCACATATTTAGGAACCTTATTTTTGGATTTCCTAATCTCTTCGATTTGCTCAGGTGTTAAAATAGTAGCACCTTGGCGATAATAAGTTTTTAGATGTGGAGTGGACATTGTTCAAAGATGTTTTTTTTTTTCGAATTGGGTCGAAGATTATTACTTTACTTAATAAAAGATAATAAATATCGAAATTTAATATTTTACATGGATAAATAACGTTAAAAATCAAAGGTTACCATTTGCTATCGTTAAATAACGTTAAAAATCAAAGGTTACCATTTGCTATCGTTAAATAACGTTAAAAATCAAAATTAATTCAATTTTTTGTTAAACATATTCTCTTTAATTATATGGCACCAATACATACCTTAATTAGTGGATCTACTGTTGCCGAAAATTTTCAAGGGCGTGGATATAAATTAGATAGCACTAGAGAACGTGAGCTTGAATCTGAACGTAATGAGTTACTCATTAAAACCGAATTTTTTGCTAATAAATGTTCTGATTTTAGAAATGCCAAAGTGCTTGCAGAAACACGATCAGATGAACTTGCAAAAGAGTTGAAATCAAAAAATGAAAAAATTTTACGTCTCCGGAAAAAATTAAATCGAATCACCGATGCCAAAACACGAAATGACTCAAATATGAAACAACTCAAAGAAGAAATCAAACAGTTACAGAGCGAAAATACTAATCTTGTATCCCAGGGTGCTCTTAAAGAACTTTCTCTTACTGGCTATCAAACCAAGTATTACAAAAAAATGGAAGAGGCGAATTCTTTCCAATCTAGAATAAAGTCATTGGAAGAGAAATTATTTTCAGCTCAGAAGGACTCATCTCTGAAAGCTTCCGGGATCGATTCTCTCAAGTCCAAAATAACTGAATTGGAGCGCATGAAAGATGAATTATCCTTAAAAGTCAGTGAACTTAACTGTCTGAAATCGGAGACTATATCGAAACCCATAGTTGGTGGGGATGACGAAAAAAATATGACCAAGTCTGATGATATATCTGCAGTTATTGAACCTAGCAAAAACATCAGTCGATATTTTGTACGCGGAAAAAGTATTCCAATCTCAGAACCTCCAAAAGTCAATGCTGAGAATAGTCCCAAGATAAGTGATGAAATTAATATTAACGAAACTAACAAAGTTAATATGCTAGATGCACCGACAAAACCCAGTATATTACAGATTATACCCCAAAATGTGAATCCACACCTTGCACAACGGGAAAATTATACCCCCTCTTTGATGTCACAGCTATCAGCATATATTTTTCTTATTATATTAATTATCGCAGTTATGTGGTTCGTGGTATTGAGACGTACATGGGGGTTGAAGAGGAAAAGTGAGCAGTTGCAGGATGTGTGGGCTAGGTATTAGAAGTCATCTATTTAAACTTGGATATTATTTATGTACGAAAAAATATTATTAATAATATATAAGTATCACTAATATTGGGCCATTGGTGAAATACTTATTACAAGCTTTTAATATATTTTTCAAGCCATTTTTTCGCCTCTTTCTGGGAATATACATCAATCTGCTTTTCTCTATCATCTGAATCTTTAATATGCATAATCTTATTTGAACTTGGTGGTTGATACTTTTCATCTTCATTGATAAACCGCGCACATAATCCCAACGTACTTTCTAAATAGTGGTTGATATTTATTTCCATGTTCTGCTCTTTTGCAAACTCTGGATATTCCATATAATCACCAACTCTATATTGTATTAATCGACCTTTTTCATCACGGCAACGCTCACCTTTTACTACTACATAACTAAAGCGCTCACCAGGATCTGGGATATTCAATTGTTTTTCTTTCATTCGAGTTATAAAACGCTGGACACGAAGATTTTTTTTCTTAGGCTTCCATGTAGCCATCCCAATAAATTGACTAAAGTCCCATTGCTTATGTTTGGCCTCTCTGAGAGTATCTTCAACAATTTTATGAATCGTTCGTGTATTATTAATATCCATAGCCTCCTGCATAATCTTTTTTCTGATAAACTTGAAGAGCTCAGAATTCCCTTGCTTTACAGTATCAATTCCTTTCATAAAGAGATTATCTGGCCTAAAATTGACAACCTTTTCATGTGGTACACCGAAGTATTTTTTCTTACCAGCAAAACAGACGGGAAATAATACCTCCTCATATGCCATCTTAAGATAAGATGTGCCGTTTTTTATTCTAAGATAATCATTGACCTGATCACGTAACTTTTTCATCGCATCCATAGTAATTTTGACCATTTCACTCCAGTATGCTTCTTTAGAAAGTTCTTTTCTGGAGAAGGCTTTATTGTATTTTTCATAATATTTAATTGGACAGGAGAGATACAAAGAATCGGTATCCCCATATTTTATTCCAAACCCTTTCTTTGTTACGAATTCAGTGACAAGATTAAGGTTGTATTTTCCTGCTGAAGTAGTTCCTCCAGCTAATTCACGAAGAAAGATTGGAGATTTTGAGTTTCCTGCTTCCCCGTAAAAAGTATTCATATATACCTTCAAAGCTTTTTGCTTCGAATCTAAATAATCATAATCGAAGCATATGGATAAGTATTCTAAATTTAAGCTTTCCGGAATCTTTTTACCTTTCTTTTTAAGTGAACTTATCATTTTCCCAAGCGGTTCTTTTTTCTTTCCTAATGGGTCAAGTTGTGCTTTAAGCTCTACTCTCTTGTTAAATAAATCCTCTAATACGATAGGGTATAAGCCCTTCTTTTCCAATTTATTATCATGTCTCACACTCCAAGCTTGGACGATGTGGTTATTAAATGGAAACTCAATCTTATGCAAGTTATTTCCATTATTTTGCACAAAATCAGCCTCATCTGGTGTTAATATGATTTTTTCCGGAGAAAGATTATAAGTCATAATAAGGCTGGGATATAAAGATGCAAAATCCAGACCCGTCACTGGCCTTTCTGCTTCTATACCTTTTTTAGGTGGAAAAACGTATGCACCGGGAAATTTCCCTTTTTCTATATTTTTACATACCCTTGTACTAAATACTATATCACGCTTGAAAGCATAAGCACCCAGAAGATTTCTTACCTTCATTCCATTAGCCCGGTAATGTGAATCAAATAAAGATACATACGCTATAGAAGCAATCTCCCTATAATCATTAATTACATTTCGTTTAACTATAAGCTCTTGGCAACGTAATGCATCTATAATACAATAATATGCTACTTTATGCATGTTTTCTATAGTAGAATGCGATTTATTTAAGGAAATACTCTCTTTTGCTTCTGAATAGATTTTCCACATTTTATTATATGGCATATCCGCTTTACCCCCCAATCCACATATTTTTAAGTAAAATGCAAGTGAACTTTTTCTATCAACCTCTGCACGAGGGAAAAGTTTCTTAAAACATGCACGTATGTCAATTGGTACACATCCTGGTACTTTAAGAAAAGTAGAAATATAATTATCCTCTGGACTAATCTTGATTATAACTGGCTGTACCCTATCATTTTCTTCCTCACTATTATCAATAGCACCTTTTTTAGCACCTTTGGTACTTGCTCCGCTAATTTGAAAACTATTTTTAGATTTTGCCCCTATTTTCCCATAATAATTCCATTTTAGAATTTCTTCCTTCGATTTAAATCTTCCCGTCATCTGTTTCCACATCCATTCAAGAATATTAAGTCTATAAGCTCTTTCCATAATAAATGGCCAATCATATTCGGAATCGCTAAATCCGAGTTGAATATCAGGGATGAAGGCTTTCCAGCATAATGCAAATGCTTTTAGTAAATTTGTCTGGTTCCCACATACAACTGTTATCCATCGTGGGTCTGGTGCAGTTTCAAGATCGACAAGACAGATTTGTTTTAATGGTCTTGGATCGTCTTTCCAGTGTAAGGTCATACAAATCATAAATACAATATTTTCTTCATCATGTATTTCAGCAAATTCGCCCAACTCTCGTGATTGTGTTTCTATGTCCCAAGTAAGAATAAGCGTACGATCTCTCATGAGCGCTGAAATCGGAAAACGGTCACTTATCATTTTTAGATCTTCTACTGGTCGAAAATCATTTACAGAAACTCTAAAATCGTGTATATAATGAGAATGTTTTTTGTATATATAATTGCTTATCGTAGACCAACCAGAAATTGCGATTCCGTTTTCTCTAGCTATTTTACGATGAAATGAGAACATATCATCTGAGGCAGTTTCAAAATTTTTATCTTGAATAGCTTGAAGGGCTTTTTTTCTATCTCCAGTACCAAGTGTAAAAATTCGTAAATATGACTTTTTTTCTGTATGGTAACCACGCAAAGGGAAGGCATTAATGTATCCTATTTTATAGATATTTATTGTATTACAAATAATTTCATCTATTTTTATTTTAAAGTCATCTACAGATTCGTTATCGGGTACAAGTATATCAAAGAATATCTGGATTCCTGTAAGAGTAACTATCGCCTTTTGGCCATTGATAAGAGAGCCATAAA